TAGAGCTGCGGAGGCACATTCTCAAGAACCGCCCACGTTGGTGCAAATAGAAGCTCCTGTGCAGCCAGGTTCCCATCAGCTGACCACGGAAACACCAAAAACGCACATCTGTCTGCTTGCCAATACCCAACCTGAAGAACCCACTCTCTAGTCGGAACTAAAGGGACAAAGATCAAACAACAAGTAGCCGAGACTGTACGAACCGTAATATTCCCAAATTTTCCCCACACCGAATTCAAGTCAGCGATAATCTTTCCTGCCGGCTGCATCCTTCCGTGGAAATGGGCCACGATATCGTTCTTCCAGAATTCTGAAGTCTCAAGGAGTACACTGGGTGGAGCTTGAACAATTGGCGTTCCATCTTCCAAAAAAGATGGATCTGAGATTTTCCTCAAATTCTTGAGAGAAGCCTTGAACCTCGCTGCATAGGAGGAGACAGACGCTGCTGGAGTCGAAGCCGGAACTGAAGAGGATGAGTCTTTTCCCCCAAATTGTTGTTGACACTAAGCTCGAGCCGATTTGGGATCTGAGTTTCTCCGCTACCAGGCTTGTTAGACAAAATCGGATCTCAGGGAGATGACTGAAGATCCGTCATCGCAGAAGAAAGGAAATATCAAAAAAAAGAGGGAGATAATTCTCGTTACTCGGCGTGGGGCCAACCCACGGCGGGTAGACTACGGAACCCTAGTCGCCCATTTATCGCAAGAGAGAGAGAAAATGGGCTTTTCTGATTAGCTAAGTTTAATAAAAAATTAAGATGGAAGACATGTAACGAGATAATATGTCGAATTACTTTATCTGCCACATTGTTCCACTATAATGTTGTATTAATTAGCAATTTCAAAATAATTCACTAGAGCACAGGTGCCAGAGCCCATTAATCACATTCGATAAACGATAAATATTTCTTTAAACATTACACTTTTCACTGTGTGTCCTGCAGAATTATATAATTTAGGATAATGTATATGTTCATTAATATTGTGAATATAACAAAAATTTTCATTTTCTTCAATTAAGATTTGCATGCAAATGTTTAGATTATCTTTAGCGGAAGATACCAATATCTTTATTAAAAATTTCTATTTAATCGTGACCTAATCCCAACACGATATGTTAATTATAAACAAATTATATAAGACAAAAAAAGTTAAACCGCTCTTATCACATCACCAACAAAATGTGATATGATAAGCTGAGGGGCACTTCGTGAATAGTTGAGTTTCACAAGACCCAATAGGGCGAACCGTAGTAGCTAAGTGCATGTTACAATATTTTCTTTTTATATAACTACTTTTTTTTGCTTAAATTATTTTTGTATAATTACTTGTCGACCACACAGATACTATTTTAAAATATGTAAACAAAAATCTAGCCTAGTGATAATATATATAAGTACGTCCACTTAGGGCGAGATAATGTTGTGATAGGGAACTTAAATTAGGTCTCTTTCCATATGGCTCACTTACTGACCTAAATTAAAGTTAGGTTATGTAATCTTTTCTGTTAATTGGTTTGATATATGTGTACCTCCCAAGAATTGTAACTTGTATATGTACAGTATTAAAAGATAGTGTGAAAGTCAAACGGACCACTTTCATGTATCTTTTGAGACCACTTTCATGTATCTTTTGAGACCACTTTCGTGCGTATATATACTAGATAAATCCGTGCATTGCAACGAATTTTGTTTGATGTTGTAATTTAAGAAAAAATGTTAAAATTATAAATAATTTAATCATAGATTTAAAATTTTTTTACATAAGTTGTGTGAGATTTATTTTATAGTTACAAACTCATTAATAGATTGGAATTAAAAATATATCTTCCGAATAATAAAATTAAAATAACTTTTCGGAGGACATGTGGTGTCTGATTACGAACATCTATTTATTCCATATTATTTATATATCTGATTACATTTGTAACAAAATCATGTTATACAATAATGTTATTTCAAGAAAAAATCATTACAAATACCCAATCAATTGACAGAAATATACAATGTTCGACAACCAAATTGATACAAAAAAATTAATATAAAATTATGAATATTATCATATAAATTGTATGGAATCTTTCAGTTGAGCACAGTTCCGAAAACAAAATTTTCAGGAGGTGTTTGAGGTAATTGTTTCTCCACACATGTACTTGTTGTTCTTTTGGTCAATCTTATCTGAAATTTATGATCTGAGAGTTCGTAGTTTTTATTGCAATTTTACTAATTAACATTGCAGATTTTAATAAGATTCTTTCACGTAACCCATCTCCCAACTTTTTAATAAGATAATAATCGACATAACCTTGAACAGTATTTTCTTACATAATAAAAAAATTAGTTTTAATAATGAAATTATATAATATTTTTAATAAATAAAATATTTATCTTCTCATCAAGTAGGAGAAAATTCAGTCCTATTAACTCATTATTCTTTTTTAAATTTCTTGCTTCCATTTTCTAGTAAGACGTACAATAGTACGATGGTAAAGAAGTTTTTATTTAACTGATCTAGTGTTAAATAACTTTTTGAAGCTATTTTTTCTTGATAAGATTCCTCGTAGCACATTGAATTGTGATTTCAGTTAGAAATAATAAATAGAACGAACACACATAAGCATAAATAAACGTATTAAAATAGTAAATTGGTATTGCCATTAACTTACCTAGCATAACCAGTTTCAGAGGGTCAATACAAACAAACACACATATGCATAATACAGATGTTAACTTATTTTGTACAACATCATAACTAAAAAAAATAACACGCAAAAATGTAAAAGATCATGCAAAAATCTCACTTAATATTTTTCTTAAATCAATAATTATGTTTGGTGATCAAATATGAGAAATGGAAAAATATGAGAGAGCTTAGTCTTATATATATATATATATATGTATAAATAATTGTAATTCCTTTTGGTTTATGATATTTTTAATTAGGATTTGAATAAAGAAAAAATAACGTTAAACACTCTTTTAAAAGTTTCTGGTTTAAAATTTTTAAAGGATAATTACTATCAATTTTTTTACATTAATATTTTCTTTATGATTTTAGAAAAGGAAAATTAGTATTAATATTCTTTTACAATTTTTTGTATAGGATTTGAAAAAACGGAAATTACTATTACCTTTTTTTTCAAAAAAATCTTGATAATATATGAATAAGTATAGTTCTTTTTGGGTTATTGTTTTTTAATTAGGATTTGAATAAAAGAAAATTAACATTAAAAACTTTTTTACAATTTTTTGGTTTACTATTTAAAAAAGATAATTAGTTTCAAATTTATTTTACAATTATTTTTTCTTTATAATTTTGGAGAAGGAAAATTAGTATTTAATAATTTTTTGTACAAATCGTCTTTAGTATAAGATTTTTAAAAACGAAAATTATATTTTTTTGAAACAGTTGTGTTAATCTTAGTTCTTTTTGGTTTGTGATCTTTTTAATCAGGATTTGAATAAGAGAAAATTAACATTAAAAACCCTTTTAGAATTTTTGGTTTGAAATTTTAAGAGGTTTTAAAAAGGATAATTACTATCAAATATTGTTTACAGTTATCTTTTTTTTTTAAATGATTTTACAAAAGGAAAATTAGTATTAACACATGTCACAGTCTTAGATATATAACTGACATTTTTCGCGATCGTGTTAATTAGTAACTTTGAAGAACCAATCTTTATATAATAATAAAAATATAATTACTTTAAAATTTATTTTACAATTATTTTTTCTTTATAATTTTGGAGAAGGAAAATTAGTTTTTAATAATTTATTTGTACTAATCGTTTTTGGTACAAGATTTTTAAAAACGAAGATTATATATTTTTTTCAGAAAATTGTGTTAATCTTAGTTCTTTTGGTTTGTGATCTTTTTAATCAGGATTTGAATAAGAGAAAATTAACATTAAACACTCTTTTACAATTTTTGGTATGAAATTTTAAGAGATTTTAAAAGGATAATTACTATCAAATATTGTTTACAATTATTTTTTTTAATGATTTTACAAAAAGAAAATTAGTAACACATGTCACAATCTTAGATATATAACTTATATATGTAGCGGTCGTGTTAATTAATAATTTTGAAGAACCAAACTTTATATAATAAGATGTAATAGTAAAATCAATTCAAACATAATGCAAGAAAAATAAATAACTAAATCAAATAAGACTAATAATTAAATATATCTCGTGGTATGGTGAATTCACTAATCAACCAAACGGAATATGCGAAGGGGCTTTATTTGCTTACGACAATAAACTTTTCGTGTATGAACACTATATGACTAATTCAGTACATGAAAGTACGCACACAATGCACATACACACACGCACATGCTTACGCACACATATTTTTGATGTCATTTAGATTTAGTGGCTTATAGCCTAGTCCACGTAATAGTAATTTCATTTGTTTGATTATAATTGCTTTTCTAATACTTTCGTGTGTAGATGCGACAAATAATGATAAAACCAAATAGTAAGAATTAGGGTTGATTGTTCGAGTGTTTAATAGAAGTGCAATTAATGCATGTGAACTAGACCTCTTATCTTTTATAACTTGTGACTTTAAGTTATCTATACACTGTATATAATATAGAAATAAAGATGAACTTACAGAATCTAGAAACAAAGATGAACAGACGTTGCAATGATATGGAGGGTGTACGAAGGTGTCAACATCAGTACGTAAGTGTGCGATGACGACTTTGAGCACAAAATTTGATACTGATCATATACAGTTAGGCCACTCCATCTTTGTGCATTTCCAAGTGGGAATGTATAATATATATAGTTGCATAATATCTAATAATTTGCCACTTAAAAACGATTTATACAACTTTGCAAAAATCTAATACTATAACATATAGTAGTTGTACCCTTATGATATCTATATATGCAACACCACAAATTGCATTGCCCAGCAAACGAAAACCCAAACATTTCTTGACCAAAACATTCAATTGATAAAGTCTTTTGGGTGGGGTTATAAGTAATATGGCATCAAAAGAACAAGCAGGGAAGCTAGAGTGGAGGATAAGTGTTGACAATGGGACAACTGAGAGATTGGTTCCGACATCAGGACCTAGTAAAAGGATCTTTCTTTGGCTAAAGGGTTTAGTAGTGAAGGTAATCGTGGAGCAAAACGCAAAGTCTATGAGGAACTTTTGGAAGATAGGGGCAGATGATCCAGCGAAAATTGTTCACTGTTTGAAAGTAGGACTTGCACTTTCATTAGTCTCAATCTTCTATTACATGAGACCTTTGTATGATGGAGTTGGAGGGAATGCTATGTGGGCTATCATGACTGTTGTAGTCGTCTTCGAGTCCAATGTTGGTAAGTAAAATCAAACCCAAAATCAAATGTTTTCAACTTTCTTCATAATGAGTGCAATAATATTTGACCTGTATGTGTATGTATCTCCTCCATGTACAACAGGAGCAACATTCTCCAAATGTGTGAACAGAGTGGTGGCGACTATACTAGCTGGATCATTGGGCATTGGTGTTCATTGGGTTGCAATTCAATCAGGAAAGGCTGAGATTTTCGTGACTGCATGCTCTGTTTTTCTCTTTGGTAAGTAATGGTAGAAAAGCCTAAAACAGATCAGACCATATTGACTGGATGCTTTCTTTTCTTACATTCCTTTTGTGGGTTTGATTCTTGCAGCTTTTGCAGCTACTTACTCGCGGTTTGTCCCGTCATTCAAAGCCAGATTCGACTATGGAGCAATGATCTTTATCCTCACATTTAGCCTTGTCTCAGTAGGCGGTTACCGAGTAGATAAGGTGGTTGATATGGCTCAGCAAAGAGCATCAACTATTGCAATAGGAACATCTATCTGCATTATCATTACTGTCTTCTTATGTCCCATCTGGGCAGGATCTCAGCTTCACCGCCTTGTCCAACTTAACTTTGTAAAACTTGCAGATTCATTAGACGGTAAGGGAATAATTAAAAAAAAAAAATACTTGTTATAAAAGAAAAAGGCATTAGCTAACTGAGCTGATTATCATTAAAACTGCAGGCTGCCTAGCAGTTTACTTCAGTGAGAATGAAGATGAAGAAACTAACATGAAGTTGCAAGGATTTAAATGTGTACTTAACTCTAAGGGAACAGAGGAAGCCATGGTAACTTGACACACTTTAACTTTGGGGATACTGTAGAGTTAATATACCTTTTTGATTTGCAGTCTCTTATAACGCTCTTTTGTTTGTCTCTTAGGCGAATCTAGCTAGATGGGAACCTGCTCATGGAAGCTTTAACTTCCGGCATCCATGGCAACAATATGTAAAGATAGGAGCTGCTATGAGGAGATGTGCTTATTGCCTTGAGAATCTTAGTATCTGCATGAATATTGAAACAGAGGTTATAACCCTTTTTTACATGTTATCATAGTTTTAAGTGATTCAACTTGTAAGAGGTTGAGAAACTAAAGACTAGTGTCTTCTGCTTTCAACAGGCACCGGACCAGGTTAAGAAGCACTTCGGAGAAGCTTGTATGAAACTGAGCTTAGCTGCTTCAAAAATCTTGAGAGAATTAGCGGATATGATCAAGAACACGAGAAAATCTTCCAAGATGGATTACCTGGTGTTTGATATGAACTCAGCAGTACAAGAGCTTCAAGAAACCTTAAAAACTGTTCCCATAGAAACCAATAAACCTGAAGAAGATGTTAAATCTGAAGAGGACAACAAAGGAGACAGTATCATGCTGATGGGCCTACATGAAGTCCTTCCAGTTGCCACTTTGGTTTTGTTGTTAATCGAAAACGCAGCTAGAATTCAAACAACCGTCGAAGCAGTGGATGAACTGGCAAATCTTGCAGATTTCAAACAAGATTCAAAAAAGAAAGCAGTAGGCAACAACGCTAAATAACCACCACTAAGTTCTTCCTAAATTACACATTGGAAACTCAACAAACATGAAGATTTTAAACCGGATTTTTCATGTATATATAAAAACTATTAGTACATGATTTTGCTTTGTTGTGTAACCGAAGATTAAGATCAAGACAATGTAAAGTCTGATTTATAACAAAAGACACACAAGCAAACTTTGACTTTTGTTGATGTAATCTTTTATTACAATCTTTGGTTAAGTAACCCAGACAAGTTTTGTAACAACAAGTTCACTATAGATTCTCTCAAACTCCATCAAGACATCAAACAGAATCTCAGATTTGCCTCTTGTAACCAGCATCTTGACCAATCCCTTCAAGTGTTTACCAAACTTACCTCTCTCAACAACCTCGTTGACCAAGACCTTGTTGTTGTGATTGTTGTTCCTGTTCTTGTCTTCTCCCACAAGAAACGCCATCAACCTTCTGACATCTTCTTGAGTCCGGCCAAGACAATTCTTCGATTGACAAACGCTTACGAGCGCCGCAGCAAATCCAGACGCCGCTTTCTCGTGCACAGGAGGAGGAGGAGACGGAGGCGGTTGAGGAGCTCTTGAGGGTTTTACGTTCGGAAGCGATAATGAGATTCCTCTGGGGAAGGTAAGGTTTTTGTGGTGGGAGGAGGAAGACGATGATGGTGGTTTTGAAAGATTGGTAGCGGTTGCGTTAACGGTGGGTTTAAAGCGGCCGGAGATGGATGATCTACGAGGAGGTAGTGGAGGGAGGTTCAACGATGCTGAGAGAGTTTCCATTGTAGACGTTTCGATGATATTATCCACCTGAATGAGAAACGAATGATTCAAACATTATCATATTCCATTTTACTCTATGCATTTTTTGAAAGAGTGATTGACATTGTCACTTTCCTAATTTTTATCGCACTAAAAGACACTTATTATTACTGAGGTAGTCTTTTTTAATCAAATCAAAACTAGAAATATCTTGTTTGGTTTTTTTTTTCTTCTAGTGAGCAATTTATTTTTGAATTAAAAAAGATTAGAATAGATCTCTTCTTTCTTTTTTTTTCGGTGGAGATCTTCTTTTAGAAATAAAACTGCAAATCGTGTTTTGTGACTTGTGTTCACCAAGCTATTATATCTCCTATGTCACAATATCTTTTGTTCTTTTTACCACTGCACACAACTCTATCACATATTTTATATTAGATTCAGATCAACAGTGAAACTTGATCCATGTGTGCTTATTATTCTCCATGAATTTTTTTCCTTGACACAAATCTATCATGGCGACCATCAAGAATCATTGTTCTTCAGTCTTCACATGATAGAAGAAGCTCGAGCAACAATGGTGAATTGTCATGGTTTTACACATTTAATCCTTTAATTCTTAGATGTTCTCAATTTGACCCCAAACTCTCAAAATGTATATATAAATCCTCATGAATTAAGCCCAAATTTTTAAATATGCATTCCAAGGATTTCTTATAATTGCACAAATGGTCCATCATGTTTAGTTATTATCTCTATTTGGATTTAAACTCACAGAATTATAGATATATCTTCATTATTGACCTCTAAACTTTTAAATGTGCATTTTAATTCATGTTATATGCAAACGAACACACAAATATAATATACACACCTAAATGCAATCTAAAATGCCTAAAATGAAGTAACATAAGATTATAAAATACAACAAAATCATGAGATATCAGGATTTACTATTGGTTATACATATGAATGTGTGCATTATCAACACAATCACATGTGTACAAGTTTATATATGTACAAAGATTATGTGTGTACACACATGTACATCAAATTGTAACAATTAATGTGTACACATAATTTTTGTACACGTGTACATCGCCATGATTTTTTTTTTTATTGAAACATGTTCATATCAATGCAATCCTTTTCACCGTGATTGTGGTCGTCATTGCAATGATTAACGTGTACAATCTCATAAATTTGTTATAATTGCACATACAAATATCGTCACGGTGTACATATATAATTCATGTCCACGTGTACAATTGTTTCACAAAATATCACGTGTACATAGTTTCATTTGTACAATGGACAAATATCGTCGCGGTGCACATATATAATTCGTCTCACTTACACATAGTCTTCAATAATTTAAAGAATATAACATTCTTTTATTTTAAGAAAAAACTTATTTTACAATTTTACAATTTTAGAGTATCTTATTTTAGTTAATTTAGATTATTTTAGGTTTAATTAGATCTGTATATTGCATTTTAATGATTTTTATCATCTTAATTTAATTTATTTTAGATAAATTTATTAACTCTATCTTGATATATCATGATTTTAATATTTTTACCATCTTAATTTAGTGAAAAGAAATCTAACTTATTTAGAAAATAAAACTTTGGCATATATTTGTAGATTTGTATTTGACATGGTGTAGAATATTTATTTGCAAATTAAAACTTTGACATATCTTATGAATTATAGAATCTGAAAGTGTGGACTGGTTTGAAATTTCTCAAATTACAAATTTTGGGGCTGATTTGTAAATAACTAGAAGTTATGAGGACCAATTGTGAAATTAATTAAAAATCCACCATTGAGAGAAGTTTTGAGCTTCTCAATCTGAAGATGGCTGCGGCGGCAAGAAACAATTACTCCAGAGCTTCAGGATAGATTGTCATAGTTCGAACTGAGGTCACACCGGCAATTATCAAGCATATCCGTGACTTGATGATGAACCTGTATTGTATATGTGGTGTACCGATGAGTAAAGCTTTTAAGGATGAGCTCAATCTGTGGTGGTCCAAATAAGTATTGTACTTGGAGTGAACCCATTATGATTTCTGAAAAAAAGCAAATATTAAATCACCAGTTTTTTTTTTTACTCAATCAGTTTGTATTATAGTTGAGTTTTAGTTGGAAACCTAATGATATTAGTAAGTATAAAAGTGACGGTCCATGTAATTTTCTCTTTTTGAAAAATACTATGAATTTTCAGTTTATATATACTGACCATATGCCCAAAACACTTAATGGGCCTAATCTTTGTTGCATATGGCCTAGCTTTGGATTTGAGAAATAGAAAGTATCTACGTTGGCATAAAGAAATGAAAAAGAATAGAAAGTATATCTATCTGGACGTGTGATTTCTGCAAAAGGTTTAAAGAATCCAATACTTAACTTCGATTTTTGGATATACTTTGTGTGAATAAGGTCTATATCGTGTAGGCTAAGCTTGTCTGCAACTGATATATACCCCTACTTATATAGCTTAAACTTACTCATACCTATCTTAATCAAACGTATATATGTAACAAGTCTCAGTAAGACAACACGAGCTATTAGTAAAAATGTTTAATAATCGACAATCTCGTCGGAGATTCCGGCTCGGCAACTTAGCTAGGCTTGTCCAATTACGGCAAAGCGTAAGCAACCAACCACAGCAACCGCAACAACCACCATTGCCACCAAAGGATGATCAAGAAATTTTGTTACAATCCCCGCCACAGTCACCAGCTTTTCAGCCACCTCCATATCAATTGTCATCACCATCAACACTCCCACCGTCTGTTTCAAAAACTGGTGAAAATCCCCAGTCTTCGCCACTGTCTGAACCTAAGTCATCACAACAGTCATCAGCATTTCAGACACAACCGCAGTCACCTTCAGTTCTGCCCCCTCCAAATCAATTTTCATCTCCCATGTCATCACCATCAACACTTCCGCCCATACCGCCTGACCCGAAAGCATCACCACAGTCACTTTTACCACTAGAGTCAAAGGAAGAGTCTCGACCGCAGACAGTGACACCACCAACGTCAAAACCGCCTCCTTCGCCGCAAAAACCAAGTGAAATGCAGCTGCCACCTCTAACATCGGTGCCTCCTCCACCTCCTAAACCAAAATCATCACCAAGGTCACCAGCATTTCAACCACAACCAAAGTCACCTTCATCTCTGCCACCTCCAAATCAATTTTCATCGCTGATGCCTTCACCATCAACACTTCCATCTGGTGCAAATGGCCGATCTCCGTCAGGTGTACTACCGGAACCGAAAACATCACCACTGTCAATTTTACCAACACAATCAGAGGAAGTGCTTCAACCGCAGACAACGTTACCACCAACGTCAAAACCACCTCCATCGCCCCAAAAACTGAGTGATTCTCTGCCGCCACCGGCACATCCTGCATCACTAACACCAGAAGCAAAAAAACTACAGTCGCATCCATCAACGCTAAAAGCTACTTTAGAGTATCAATCCCCACCATCTTCAACGCCGTCTAAATCAATTGATGAAACTCGGTTCCAATCACCGCCCCTGTCGCAAGCATCACCACCATCATTATTAGAATCCCATGAATCTAAGCTGTCTAAATCTACTGAGGATACTAAGTTCCGATCACTGCCTCCTTCGCTTGCGTCTCCACCATCTTCCTTGTTAAAATCCGCTGAATTTCAGCCGCCATTACCACCACCCGAAACCAAAACTCCGCTATCTCCACCCTCAACGCTCAAAGCTCATAAAGAATTTCAACCGCAGCCGTCTCCACCGCCTCCACTGTCTAAATCTATTGATGAAACTCGTTTCAGGTCATTGCTTCCTTCGCAAGCATCACAACCATTATCATCACCGTCTGAATATGGTGAAAATCAACCACCTTTGGCACCACCAGAAGCTAAAATCCCACCGTTAGTTAAAAAATCCGGAGAATCTCAGCCACCTTTAGCACCACCAGATACCAAAGCTCCAAAGTCAACTTTAAAGGCCGCAGAAGAATCCCTGTCCCAACAGCCTACACCGCTTCTTCCGTTAGAGTCTAACGAAGCTCTGTCCCAATCAACGCCTCCAGGGAAAGCATTGCCACCGTCATTATCAGAATCTGGTGCACTTCAACAACCTTTGCCACCACCAGAATCTAAAACTCCACTACCACCGCCACCGTCGTTGTCAGAATCCAGTGAATCTCAACTGCCTTTACCACCACCAGAAACGAAACCTCCACCATCAACGCTAACCGCTGCTAAAGAATCCCAGTCTCAACCGCCTCCACCATTTCTTCCGTCTAAAACCATTGATGAAACTCAGTTGCAAGAACCGCCTCAACCGAATGTGCCACCACCGGAAGCTAAAGTTACACAGTCAACGCTAAACAAAACCGAAGAATCCACGCTTCCACAGCTTCTGCCGCCTAAAGGCAGTGATGAAACTCCGTCTAAATCATCGCCTCTGTGGAACGCATTGCCACCGTCATTATCAGAAACTAGCGAACCACAACAGACCTTGGCACCACCAAAAGCTAAAACTCCACAGCCGCCACCGTCATTTTCAGAATCGGATGAATCTCAATCTCAACAACATTTGCCACCGCCAGAAACAAAAACTCCACCATCAACGTTAAATGCTGCTGAAAAATCCCAGTCCCAACCGCCTCCACAGCTTCCTCCCTCTAACTTCATTGATAAGACTCCGTTCAAATCATCGCCTCAACCACACTTGCCACCACCAGAAGTAAAAATTACACCGCCGTCTCCGTCAAAGCTAAAAACTACTGAACAACAACACACGCCTCCACTGCTTCCTCCGTCTAAATCCATTGATGAAACTCGGTTCCAATCATTGCCTCCTTCGCAATCTTCTACACTGCCACTGCCACCGTCATTGTCAGAGTCTCGTAAATCTCAATCCCCTATACTGCCACGAGAAGCCAAAACTTCACCATCAAAGCTAAACACTACTGAAGAATCTATCATTCCTCCAACGCTGCCGTCTATTGAAAACCCTAAATCAACACCGCCACTACCTGAATCTGCCCAACATTCAATATCTCAAACATCTCCAACGGCTCTGACGTCACCATCACAGCCTCCGCCGTCACCCCAAACTAAGCCTAACCCAATCGAATCTCATCCTCCGCAACCAACAAACACCGAATCTCAATCTTCAAAAGATCACAAAAAGGATCAAAGCCAAAATCATGATAAACCAGAAGCCAAACTCATGAAGATTCCGGCAGAGATCACTGGAGAAGTGAAGAAAAACAGGGGAGAGGGGAAAACAAACTCAGTGCCGACGACGATGATGATGATGTTCATCAACAGTAATGTACAGGGGATCAACACATCACTCTCGCTCGATTCATCTTCCATCGATCATGAACCAGGCGTCCACTTGACCATCGATCATCATCATTCTTCTCCAACGCTCTTTTAATCAATTTGTTGGGATGTATTATCGGATTGCGAACAAAATAATAAAGCTACAATATTAATGGGCCTCGTGTTTACCTTTGACCCGCCCTCTTAAAGCTTGACTCTGGCTTTTATTTTCAACTAGATCATAGATTATATGATTCGCGCGCATTTTATTTTACGTATGTATTTTATATAATTTAGTTTTAAATTTGTCCGATTCAATTTTATGTTCATGAACAATATCAAAACTATCTTTTATACTAATAATGTCAAACAGTGTGTTATGTAGGTGTAACCGTGTAGTGAAAATACTAATGATGCACGTTGGTTCGAAATGCAAAATCAAATTCAAACTTAAATATTTATATTGAAAAATAAGTTGAGAGTTTAGTTATTTCTGATGTTAATAATTATACAAAGTTTTTAAAATAGTACAAATTTCTAGAATTTTTGGCCTTAACCTTTATTTTATAGGTTATGTCAAATTCAAACTTAACTTTAGTCTTAACTTTGCAAGCGCATAATATTTTATGATGAAAAATTTAATAAATAGCTTAACAAATATTTTGGTAATTTGAAATAATTTATGTATTTAAAATATTTTTCATTTAAATTAGTATTTTTAAATTTAACGCAAACCGCGATTAAACCGGTGATACAAGAATTCTATTTTGATTTTTAAAATATCCATATTTAGAAAAATCACTAAAACTCGAGACTAACCGATTGAGCCGATAGGTAACTGATATGTAATATTTAAACCTGTAAAAATAAGTTTAGATTCGTTGTTTTATATATATTATTTAAAATTTTAATTTATATAAATAATTTGAAAAAAATTGTGAGAAATTATTAAAAAGGTAAAATTTAATATTTTGTATTGTTTGGACATAAGATTAATTATAGTGTTGTTTGGAAACATAAATAGTAATATAAAGAAATGAGAATATTCTTTGAACAGAAGATTAATTATAGTGTTGTTTGGAAACATGGATAGTAGTATAAAGAAATGAGTATATTGTTTGGAAAAATGGATATTAGTTTAAAGAGAGAAATATTAGTGATTTAATGTAGGTTTAACTATAAAGTAGAAGGGTATATTTAATTTAAAAACTTACAAAATACAGGTTAGATCCAATCTAATGTTTCTAACTGAATAAGATAGATTACCACACAAACGTTTTTTTTTTGTCATCATTTACCACACAAACATTAAACAGTTTTTCACAGGTAAGAACACTAATTTAATTTCATTAATGAAATTAGGTTAAACATTATTCTATTAATTTACAAAATTTACATTTTCTAATCATAATAGTTTTTTTAAATAAGAAAAGTATTGATTAATTAAATTTCAGAATTTTAAAATTCTAGTTACTTTATTGTATTATTAATGTATATGAAATATATTTTAAAAATTTTAAATATATTTTTAGATATAATAATACAAAATATTATCAATATATTGAACTATTAAGAAAATATAGAACCATTTCATTGTGGATATAAAATAAATAATACAATATTTGGTTTGTACTTTAAAGTTTATTTTTTAGACTATAATAAATATTACAGACGATTCCACAGCCGATAATTCAACCTTCCTTACGAGGATTCACACCTGATTGCATCACCTGAGGCGCCCTATCGGATCCAGTTTGGACGTACTCCTTGTGTCATGTTGTAGATCTCTTGTAAGCTTTTTCTTCTTTAATTCGTATAATTTCGAATTTTTCAGGACTCGAAACCCAAACCTCATGGTGTAGAAGCATTAATGAACCCTTAATTAAACCACTGAACTAATGGAGCTTCCACCATTTTTAAGATTTTAATGAGAAAATATATTTACGAAACATTTCTAAAAATTATTATCAATCGGTCCTACTCGGAATCAAATAATTTTTATTAATTTATTGTATTAATTAATCTATTGAATATTTATTTATGGATTTTCTATTATATTTTTTAATCTTTGTTGGTCCGTAGTTTTCAAATTTTATTATTATGTAGAAAATAAATGTTTTAATGTCTTTTTTCTTCTTTGTTGGCAAATGTTTTAAGCCCTAACAACAATAAAAAATTTGATATTTTTTATAACTAAAATTTTCACATTACAACAATAACAGCAATTGCCATATTTTATTACTAAACAGTCCTTCATAATTTTATGAAATTACTTAACCTAATCATTAATTGATATCTACAACTTTTTGAAATTCTATCTGGTTAACTTGTTGATAATTATACAATTTTATAAAGAAAGAGGAGGTTTAGGTTTTAAAGACCTTGAGAATTTCAACACGGAAATACTTGGCAAGCAATTATGGCGTCTAATAGAGAAACCAAATACTTTGTTTTCTCCTGTTTTCAAAGGTCGGTACTACAGAAATGCTTCACCTCTAGAACCGATCCGATCATATTCTCCATCTTATGGCTGGAGGATTATGATCTCTACTAGATCTATGGTTAGCAAATGACTTATCAAAAGGGTGCGATCAAGATCATCTATCTCTATATGGAATGATCCATGGCTCCTAACCACTCGTCCGAGACCATCAGATAAAACTCAACATATTCTTTACCCAGATCTCACAGTGGATTCTCTTATTAATACTACTACGCGAAGTTGGAATATACAGGCTATTCGAGCTCTAATAGACTCCCATGATACAAAAATTATAGAAAGTATACCACTTAGCAGGACTCAGATGGAAGGTATAGATGGATAACACTTCACTAAGAATGGAGAATACACAGTTTAGTCAGGATATCAAATTGAACGAATGTACCCAGACAAAGAGAAACCGCCTGAATTGACCCACAATGGTTTTATTAAAGGCATTTTTCTGGCAGATAAGGTATCCTCCGAAGATTAAACATGTTCTATGGAAATTACTATCAGGTTGTATAGCTGTGAAGAAAATTTTGAAAGCGCGAAGGATACAAGGGGGAATAGGTTGTGACAGATGTGGAGCTGCAGAAGAATTGATTAACCATGTGTTTTTTGAAAGCACACCAGTACGGCAAGGTTCCTTACCAAAAGAATCGATCAAAGTATCCTTCCAATCCGGCAAGTATCCTTACCGGATTCTGGCGAGTTAGACCTAAATTGATGATCATCAATTGACATGGATATTGTGGTATATTTAGAAATGACAGAACAATAAGATTTTTAGCAATTTGGATGTTGATCCCAGATATACAATTAATTTGACAGTAATATAACCAATTCTTTGGAAGAAAGTCCAAGTGGAATCTTTCCATACGGCAATACAACAAGGAGAGGGATATAGTATACCTTCCATACCATGACGTTGGTGTTTTACAAATGGTTTATAGAAAGATAAGGAATTTTTTTCAGATCAAGGTTGGTATAGTACACTCGCAAGTTTTACTGGTTTTATGGGAGCACGAAATGTCAGAGGTAGCCTCTCGCCTCTTCTTTCTAGATGGAAGCGCTTATTTGAGAAATTGAAAGTATGAGAAATTTGCGCCAGTATCATATCACTTTTTCAACAGATTGTTCTCAATTTGTGAAGATGTTTTCAGAACCAAAAGAATGGCCAGTTGTTCCAAATTATTTGGAGGATATTAAGATGTTCAAAGAAAACTTTCACAACTCATAGATGAATTATGTACCAAAAATGCATAAATTATGGACAGATAATCTAGCACGTAGTTCTTGGAAACAATCGTCCTTTATCGTTTACGTGGATGTAAAACTATCGGTTTGGGTCGCAGAGTCAACATGAATCTATTTTAAGTTGATATCAAAAAAAAAAAAATTTGTAATTAAAAATAAATAATCTAAGATATATATATATATATATATATATATGCTCTTAACATTAAGTTCCACAAAACGACAAAAGGGCGATAAAAAGGTGATTTTGCGACTGGTTTCTCGATTGTTCTCAGGATGAATACGGCGGTTTCGCCGGGATTATCTTCGTCTCCGATGAGTGAAGAAAGGTCTCCGGTGAAGGCGCAAGGTTCAGATCACATAGATGGGCTTCTTAACGCAACGACTGATTTGGATTTAGCTTTGACCTCGGATGCGATGAAGGGGTTGAATTAGGAAAGTCATACGATTGGATCTAAGAATCTAGAACGAAAGGAAAACGACACTATGGGAAGTACGGGTTTGGATTCTTCTTTGAGTAAGGGTTTGCTTGTTGGTTCGATAGATCTAGCATGGATTCAAAATGGTCTTATTGGAGAATCTTCGAGTTCCCAGGGGAAGATTACTGATGGTGTGAAAGAATCCGAAGAGAAGGAAAATGGAATCATTGGAGGCTCAAAGGATCATGGGTAGGAGCGGTTCAAGGCCAGAAAATCTTGAGGAAGTATGAGGTTGAGGTACTCGTAAAGGATGGGATTGGTTCAGTGCTGGTTCCAGAGGAAATTACTAAGGATGTACCTCCGCTTTGGGATGATTTTCTGATTGGTAAATTCTTGGATAATGCTCCTCATATTGCTAAGGTTCATGATATTGTTAACAAGATATGGAATCTAAATGGCAAGTCTCAGAGGATAGATGTGTTTGAGGTAAATGATACATCAATGAAGTTCAGGATCATGAATCAAGCTGATAAGAATAGATTTCTACGAAGAGGGATGTGGAATTTAGCTGGAATTCCGGTTGTTATGACGAAATGGTCACCTGTGACGGAGAAAAAAAGGCCTCCAGTTCAGTCTATACCAATGTGGGTGCATGTCAAGAATGTACCAGTCACGATGTACTCATGGCAAGGTCTGAGTTTCCTAACTAGCCCTATTGGTGTTCCGGATAGGTTACATCCAGAGAACGCTCAGTGTTTGAAGATTGATACGGCAAAGATTTTTGTTAAGGTTGATTTAACAAAGGATTTGCCTAAACAATTAAGCTTTAATATACAGGGGAAGGAGGTTATGATTGAATACTTCTATCCAAGGCTTCCTACTAAATGTCAAGAGTGTGGCACATGGGGTCCTAAAACTTGTTCTAAGGGAAAGGAAAAGCAACAAGAGAGACATGAAGATATAGAGGAAGGCGAGATCATTGAGAAACAAGAGGAGGATGCCAATAGTGATTTTGTGGCAAAAGGTACCCAAAAAGATAAATTGATGGAGGTTGCGATATCAAAGGAAGGTTTTAATGACCACAAGGCGGAGGAAATGGTAAAGGTGGGTGTAATGATACCTTCGGAGACTACAGTTATTCACACTGAAGTG